GAACATATTCATGCTCACCAAAGACCCAAACAGCAGCTGACTTTTCTGTGGGATGGAGACCTGAATAGAGACTTGAAGAACTCAAGTCCAAAAATGTTATGTGTGGCCAGTGACTGGGGGGGCTCAGGTACTGGGTACCACACCTGAGATACCTGGGGCTGACTTTCAGCACTGCTGAGCACCTGTTGCATCCACTGCTGGCAGTTGGATTTGGCAGGACTGAGTGCTTTCAAAACCCAGGCCTAGGGCATCTCATCAGGTCAGGCATCCCAACACCGAGGACAGAATTAGCAGGCACTTTTAAACATTTAAACCAAAATCCCCATCACCCCTGCAGCAAATAAGCAGGAGGCAGGAATCTGGATAACGTGGTGGGGGTGCTGCTGCCTGGGGAGAGATCAGTGTCCTAGAAAAGGGCACCAGAGCCAAGCTTAGACTGAGCTGCTCCCAGCTTCAAACCCAGGTGTGATCCAGGGGTTGCAAAACCCACAGCAAATTTGCATAACTACTGATGCTACTTAATAAATGCAAATGAGGAGGCAGCAAAACAGGACAGAGGAATGTGATGTATTCTGCTAAACAACGGGGCATATTTGTTTTTATTTTAAAATTCAAAAATAGTTAGTGCCTGAAGCCATGGGCTGCTGTGTAGGGACCTGGGGAGCTGCCCAGGCATGGATCTTCTTGGATTATTTAGAACAGACATTAAATACAGTTCTGCTGAGGGCAGAGTGCTAGCCCAGCTTCCCGTATCAGATAGGCCTAAGGGCTTTTTTGTCTGAGAACCTGTATCAAACCATGCCGAAGGACAAAATGGAGAGCTTAGGTGCCACTGACTGGGGAGAGCACTGTGCATCTCTAAAGTCACTGGGTGGTCTCAAACAGTTTTTAACCAGCTATTTGGGGAACTTAGGCAGGAACCCACAGAACAACCCCCCTAAACTGGGCTGGTCAGCAGTGCACAGAGGCATGTGCCTTGCATTGCAGCCTCAGCAGAAGCCAAAAACTCAGCCAGGTTAAAGCCATGCTTGTACTGGAACAACATTGGAACAAACCCAGTAGTCAAATGCCAGATACTCAAATGCAGATGTTTAAATGATGCAATCACTTTGAAAAGGCTCAGGGTTGCCATTTCTCTTCCCTACCCCACTGCGCAAGGGGTGCAAAGTTCCATCTGCATTGCGTTCACCAGAGCTCCCTGTGGCTTTTACTGCAAAGGAATAACTGCAAGGTTTTGACAAAGACAGACTGCAAGGCAGCAAGCACTCCGATTTCTCCTCGGGAACAGGGTTTGGAGACAGAAATAAGATTAACACCAACAGGAGAAAAAAAGAAGAAAGGGGAACTGTGCTAAGCAACTTGATCTCTCTAGGATTTTACATTCTGCCCTCCAGCACGACCTCTGAACTCTTGTGAACTAATAGCAGGCAAGAGCAGAGCCACTGACTTTCTCCCTTTGTAGCAAACCTCGCCATGAACTACAGCAGCATCCATGCAGAAAAACTAAATCAATCTTTCTGTCCTGTTTTCTCTTCTCTTTTCCCCACATAGAGAACTTTATCTACGTGATTGTTTGGGCTTTTACTGATACTATTGGAGGAATAAATGCTGGTGGTCTATTTTATGCCAGGATGCGACAACAGTTCTTATCGAGGGGAGAGGGTGGTAGTGGTGTCCACTAGCCGACAATGCTAGAAGTTACAACACATACACCCTTGAGTGGTCACCCAGCAGAATTGTAGTTTCCTTAAAGACATGTTGGAAAAAGTCTATTGCATTATAAAAATTGGGCAGTGGGCAAGGCAGGGTAACAGCTTATGGACCAATTCAGAGGCATGAGCTCTCCTAGGCCACAGCAGCTTGCTTTGTCAAAGTAGGCTATGTCAGAGTACTGGTAACATTTAACAAAGTAGTCTGGAGCCTAGGAGAGCTCACCCCTCTGAACAAGTCTGTAAGATGGCACCTTGTCCCGTCTTCTGCCCAACTTCGGACCAACATGGCTAACTACCCCTCGTTATCAACCACTTAGAGAAGAATCCAGCCCCCAGATGTCTTCTTCCAGCAACATCTTTCTCTCTAGTCTGCAAAGCAATGTTGCCTTGCATTCCTCACCACCCTATCCAAGCACTTCTCTAAGCTTCCATCACTTCAGGATTTGCTTTGTTAAACCCTAGAAGAAAGTGAAGCACGTACCTTCCTCCAGGTGCAGGACCAGGAACTGGTTCTCTCCTGGCTCACTCAAATGAGCACTGATGCGTTTCAGAGACAGGAGCGCAGCGGATGTGTCCCCTGCAGAGCAGAGACCAAAGGTCTCCAGGGGGGCTTCTTCCCAGCCAGCATGTCTCACCAACTTGATGAAGTCACTTTCATAGCTGGTAAGGACACCCATGACTTCCAAGTGACTCTGGCCCAGGCCATCCTTCCTGTCCATTTTCAGCCTGCACACTGGTCCTTCTAGCCCACCCAAAAGCCATGGGTGAAGGCTGGCATTAGGCTGCAGATAGGAGAAGACTCCTTGATCTTCAGTAATGAACTGGTTGTGTTTTACTACTTTGGAATCCCCTCTTGGCTCACCAGCCTTCAAGAGCAGGTGAGGAGCAACTGTGGCTCTGCCCTTTGAGGCTATAAAGTTTCCTGCTCCTGCATGACTACTCATATTTTCCTCCTCTCCAAGTCCTAACTCTCTTGCAACAGTACTTTGCAGGTCAGCAGGTGAAAGGCCTTCCCCAAAGCTTCCTATTCTAGGTAGAGCTGTAGAGGGGAACAGCAGCAGCAGGCACTGCAAAACCACCCTAAGCACAGGACCCATGTTCCAGCTTTGAGCAGCTCTGAACTCAGCTGTTAAGAGTTGCCAGAATCCATCTTTTAAACCTTTGTGCAGGACAGGAGGACTCTATCTCCCTTCAGAAGGCAGTGACCTTGAGTTGACAATGCACAACACACCTCCCTTGAGAAATTCAAAGGCCAATGTGCTATAAAGGAGGGAGGGCCAATTCAAAGGAGTCTTTCTGTTCTATTTTTGGCTTTGCAACCAGTGCTTGGAAATGTTATAAAATTGAAACTGTTTACCTTCTTTTTAGGGATTCATGTCCTTGACTTAAAATGTTTTTAAAGAATGGTATATGTGTGTGTGGGGAGGGGGAAGGGAAGGGAGAAGAGAAGTTTAGATTTGAATTTAATTTGGCACAGCCTCCCTAAGGTTGGAAATACCAAGGGGAATTTGTTAGAGAGAAAGCAGCAGGTACTAAACAGGGACAATGAGAGGAATTAAGAGAAAGTAAATTTGTGTAATCTATGAGAAATTAAATTTGTGTAATCTATAACCTTTCCCTACTGGAGTTTCCCTGGATTAAACTGGCAGCTCCTGTGCTTCCATTTTGCAGGCAGTGTAGAGGGGTCATCTTATGACAACTCCAGTCTTTCACAGCTCCTTCCAAAACGCTCACCTGCTTGGGTCTCAAAATAATTCTTTTCTGCAGGAGAACCAGAAAGGGATTTTTAGAGGGAAGCAATGGAAACATACCTTGATTATTTTAAACTAGACTGGATAAGGTCACAAGCAGCAGTTCTGCAATCGCCTAGAGAGATGAAACACCTTAAATCCATACTTATCACACGCACAGGATTTCTTAATCACTTCTTCCGTTGCCAACAGTAAATATGCTATTTAGGATAGCTAATTCTGGCCATCGCACCCATTCCAAGGAAATGTTATGCCTATTTCTTTCCCAAAACAGTGCATCTTTAAAACAAAACATACAGGCAGACTTTTCCTGCTAGCTCACAGGACTTTTGCTGTCAAACTCTACTCATGAGCTGACTACAGTGCACACAATAGCTGGCTTTATCACATGCCTTGAATCCAATGGAGCAAAGGGTTCCTGGATCCAGAATTCTCTACAGTGGGCCCTACAAACTATGACTCCAAGCCTTCTCCGGGTAGCTACAAATGATGATGATGCCAAGCTTTGTCCAGGTAGGATATTTTGACTTGACAAAGATAAAACTCAAAGCCTGTTAAGACTCATGGTTCAGGACAGAAGCCAACATCGATTTTTTTATAACTCCAGAAGTCATTATAACCTTTAGTTAAATGTTCATTTAAAAGAAGTTCCAGATTGATTTTCTCTGCTTAGAAATTTTACTTTATGCTTACTTTGTCTACACTTCTGACACACAAGCCATGTGTGATGGAGCCATTGTACTACCTCTGCATTGGACACAAATCATCAAACAGCCTATAGGGCATAAACCTTCTGCCGGCAATTTGCCAATGGTTTATCTACACAAAGAAGCTAATTCAGTTTAAGATAGAGCAGTATTTAAAAGTGCAATAGCTATTCTTAATTATTTCCCTGCATACATATTCTTATTCCAACCTACTTAATCCACTTCCAAAATGAATTTTGCTCATGCAGATCAAAGTAGATGACCTACAATAAAAGCATGCATGCAGGGAGCTATTCTGGATACCAATCCTAGAGTAACTTCTTGTGTACACAAACCCCTAGATATGCATGGTGGCATCTAGGTAGGAACAAAAACAAGTGCAACTATGCTGCAGGCAATGGGAGTAGATGTCGACCCATCTTCAGTGAAAATGGTGCAAACATTTGCTACTGAAATGCAGACAACTTCCCATATTTTTGATGGGAGCTGGCCTGTTGCCCACTGATGTGGTGATAGTGGGTATTTATCATGCGACAATGTGGACTGTGAACTATTACCACCTCCAGCTAAATAAAAAAATTCATGAGGAAATAAATGTCACTCTGGAGCTCAGGAACTCACATTACTTTAAATTCATGGTTAATTAAATTAAAAGTAGATTTCCAGGTAACTCCAGTCATTTGTCTGCTAACTGGATAAGTTCTGATAAGCTACTAAATATTTCAAGACTGATAATTTTCCTACCTCCTCATTGTGGGGCCTTTAAACAACACTTGTATGAAAACAAAGGCAACAGTTTTACTCAAAAAGAGAAGCATGTATGCAGAAAATAAAGTTGAAAGCCTTTTAATGAATCTACAAGATTTAGGCAAAAACCACTGGCATATAAAAAGGACAAATATTTATCATCTCTGAGCAGGATGTGGTGTGCAAGTAAAATACACAAATCAAAGAAGTCCACTGAGAGAGTCCAGGAAAAGCTTTTCAGTTGGAAGGAGGTGGAGGGGGAATAGTCCCTGGCCCCTCCGTGGGCAGAGGTGGTCTCATCATTGGTGGCAGTGGAGCAGGAGGTACCCCAGGAGTTGGTGGCAGCTGAGGTGGTGCTGGGGGCGGTACAGGCCCAGAGGGAGGCATGGGTGGCAAGGGCATGCCTCCTGGAGGAGGCGGCGGTGGCAGAGAGTCTGGCAAGGGTGGCCTGGGGGGCAAGCCATTCATCAGTGGGGGTGGTGGAGGCCTCTTCACAGTTGGGGGCCCAGGAGGGATACTTTGAGGAGCTGGAGGCTTCTCCATCTTGAAATGGAACTGAAGGAAAAACTAGAGCAAAAAGAGGGAGAGATTAAAAATAAATCACAGGGTGACTGGTCTGCCCAGTTCTCTCCTGATGCCTCAAGGAACACCACCAGGGCCACGTCCACATGAACGGGGACGTTTGGTTTCCCAGGGACAAGTAGCAGCAGCACACCTTGTACCGCTGCTACTTATCCCCAGGGAGCACCCAAGCCAGGTGCACTGTGGTGCGTGGCAGGTTACCCCGGGTGGGGTAGGGAAGGCTGGGCCCAGCAACTGTGCTGCCCCAGCAGCTTTACCTGGGCTCTTGGAGCTGGGAGCCTGGCCAACAGCCAGAGCATGGCTTCAGCTGGCCAGACTCCAGTTTTGGGCAGCACGTGCTGCTGCCACGTGTGCTGCCCCACTTTTTTTCCCCCACACGGGTTTTTTTTGATCCCTTCACAGCAGTACAGAGATCGCAGCACACGGAAAACCTGAATGTGCAGTGTGTGGTGCGGCAGATGGGTTGGCAGCACCACATACCTCACAGCTGCACTCATCTGGACGTGGCCTAGGTGACTGCTTCTGAACCAACATCTGTAGTACATCCTGATCCAGAAGGCCAGGTCACTTTCAGACACACTTCTCTGGTCACCAACTATAGAAATGATCCCTAAAAGTATACATTACACACTGCCTCTCCACCCATATTACACACTGCCTCTCTCGACTGCTTTGCACCAATGGTCCCACTTGTCGTTCTAAATCCTCATGCTCTTTCGGCTCGGAATAAATGCCAAGCCAGAAGTGACCAATTTAGCATCCTACACCTATTTGAAAATATGCATGTGCCACACCATACTGCAGCCCAGAACCTCATGCATATGTATGCCATTGTGCAATAGCTGGCTCTCGGAGCTGTCCCCCAATGATACTAGCAGCAGAACATGATGCTAGGTACTAACCCCTTATTGCCACATGGGATATACTGACTTTACAAAGCATGGCACTATCTGCCTCCAAACCTAGCTTCCAAAATAGAAACAAAACTGGAAAATTCCTCAAGTACAGCTCTCTCAGCTTCATGTTTTTATTGTTAGTGAACTTACCACTGGTCATGGGAGCTGGCTTGACAGCCCTGCACAATTACGTTCTTTATTCTCTACAGTGAATATGGGGAACACAGCTAACTATCTTTCTCTGCAGTTAGCATGTACTGCAGTAGCTGTACAAATTTTCCCCAAAATACATGTCAAACCTCACCTCTACTTCTGGGGGCATGAACAAAATATAGTCTCACAAAACCATTCAAGTCTCGACCTGCCAACTGGGACTGCAAGCAAGAGGGCTTGCAGAACTGGTGTAAGAAAAGCTGTAAGGGTATGAAGGCCTGTCTTCTGGGAGAAAAGGAAGCTCATTTCATTTGTTCCAAAAAGAGTAATTAGACTGTAAATGGAAACGTTTCAACACAAGACTAAGAAAAGAAGTCCACCTGCATAGGTCTTATGCCTGTGAGCCAGTCTCAGGCAAATGGGTTTGTTTAAACTGCTTAGGCCCTAGACTGTCAGTCAAGACGACATCATCATAAGGCATAAAGGCACAACAAAGATTAAAATTCAGAGCCTGATCCTGTAATGGGGCTAGTAATGAGACTAATAATGAGACTTACTGCAGAAGGTGGAGCTTGCAAGTACCAGTACTTGTATGGTGGGAAGCACTGGCCCAATGCTGCTTTCCCCTTGTCCTTCACCCGCCCCCCAAACCATAAGAGAAGCTAATCCCCAGATACCTGTTTGGTTTCTCTATTCCAGTGGGTCCAAAACTTTCCTTCTGCTTTGTCAATTTCCCTGCTTGGCACCTGTAAGAAAAAGGAGTGAAAAGCTATTATTAGTGCCACCAGATTAACACAATGGCCTTTTTAACACAAGAGCTGCAAGATAAGCACAGTTATTCTAGGCCTTTGTAAGAAGAGCTAGTCTCAGACCTTATTAGACAATGTTGGAGGGAGGAATTAAGTCACTTTCATATCTGTCAAGGACAAGTGTGCTGGCAGAAAACATCTCCTCTAAACATCTGCACAAAGAGGACTCAGGAACAAAGCCCAGAGGACTTTTTGTGCTAGAGGCAAAGAATGCCTCGGCTCTGCAAATAGCATTTTTTTCATGCTTGTAGATACATGCCTCCACTAATTCTCAAGTGGTGTTAGCTGTTTCCAAACGTCTCCCCTCCCCTCCTTCAACTCTTCCAGCCAGGTCCCCCATCCCACAACTTAGACTTCTCTCATTTGAGCCTTATCTGCTGATAATTCCCTCTGGGTACTTTTCAAATGTATGCGGTGGAGAACACTGCCAGTCACTAATTAAGGTTTGACGTTAATATCTCACCTTGAAAGCAATCGTTTCGTAGGGCTCTGCTGCCATCAAAAGATATTGCCAGCGCCTGTCTGGGGGCTCAATTCTTTGTTCATATGCAGACATGAACCGATGCCTTGGCATGATGGTTTCAGCAATCTCTGGATAATCAATCTGTAGGGGTGATATTACACCATTAAGTATCAATGCTCCCCCCACCTAAAAAAAACAACACCTTAAGCTATAAATCTGGGTCAGTACACATCCTTCACATGGAAATCTAGTGACCTGAATGCTAGAGAGATATCGGCACAGCAGTCTTGATCATGGATTCCCTGCATTCACCCAAAGGAGAGGTACAGCACCATGAGGAGCAGTGAAGTAGCAAACAACCCTCTCTCTCCAGGCATGCCATCTGCTACCTCAGTCCTGGAGAGACTGCCTCTAGGAACAAGAGGGAAATTCACTCTTCAGGGCCCACTGAATCCTCAAGCTTTAAGTCAAGAATATTGTGGCAATTTTAATTACAGAAGCATCCATGCATCAAAACCTCACTAAGACCCTCAGCAGCAACTGTCTTTTCTCATATAGCCTGAAAATGTCTTTACTTGGATTGTTCAAATGACCAGAGGTTAACAATACCCTACCTGGAAGAGGAGACTCTGTTGTCCTGTTTCTGGATCTCTTTGTTTGGTCACTGTAAGAGAACAATGAAACCTGGGTTCAGTACTGCATAAGGAACTGACACTTTCACTTTAAGAACCTGTTGTATTGACCCAAATTATAGAAAAAGTGTAAGGGTATGAAGCCCTGCCTTCTGGGAGGAAAGGAAGTTCATTTCATAAGTGCCAAAAAGAGTAATTAGACTGAAAATGGAAACGTTTCAGCACAAGGCTAAGAAAAGAACTGGACTAACAGCAGTCCTACTTTAAGAACCTGTTGTATGGAATTGTTAGTATCAACACAACTGCACTTTCTAGTGCAACACCTAGAGATTTTCTCCATGTTATTAATACTGTATTTTTGTTTGATAGGTGTGAATGAAAGGAACCTAATAAGTGTAGCCATATATACATACTGCACCACTGAAATTCTACTGCCTCTGGAGCAAAGAGAACTGGCACACTATGCTCTTCAGAACAAGAAAATGGTGGGAAGAGAGAGAAAGGAAATCTTGGACAACAAACCAGAACCAAGTCACAAAGAGTTCTGTCGCTTTTAAAAAACAAATACATAAATCAAGGTGGCAAGGGTGACCTATACATCTTACTAGTAGCTATGAGCAAGTGAAGAAAAACACAGGGGAAGAATTACACCAAAGAAAGTAGTACAATAGTAAGCAACAAAGGAGAATTGGATTGAAACAGTATCATCCATATCCTATGCCAAATGCTGCAAGAGCTGAATGAATGCAACTCCTAATGTATTATTGAACAGGCTCATGTCTGACTGCCACATGTCAAGAGCTATTCTATGAGGGAAAAACAAAATGAAAAAAAGAGGGAGGGATACAATCGTACCTTATTTATGATATAACGAGATCTGCTAAAAGGCAAGTTTATAACTCATACCAGAGCCACAAATTTCAACTGAATTCCACTGAGCTTTATGTACCTGCTGTAAGAGACATGCCAGTATTAGTTACCTTTGTAACCTGGTCGTCCGATCTTCACAAATTTTTTCACTTCCACTTTGACTTTTTCTGGTGCAGGCTGGGCAGGGGCTTCTTTAGCTTCCTTGGCAGCTCTGCGTGCCCTAAAAATCACAACAGAGAATGGTCATGGATCCAGCTGTACCCACAAATGTGACCCTGTTGGGCAGGGGCTTCTTTAGCTTCCTTGGCAGCTCTGCGTGCCCTAAAAACCACAACAGAGAATGGTCATGATCCAGCTGTACCCACAAATATGACCCTGTCATTCAGAGCACCCTCTCCTCTGCCATATTTGCAATTCTGCTATTTTGACCTTGCCCTACTGTCTTCCTGATCTAAGATATGCTCCAAACAGTAAACCACCACCTCTTCATCAACCTTTGCCAGTAAAGGTCAATTCTGACCCAAAGCATCTCCATATCCCCTATCAAAGGCTATCAACTGAATTGCATGCTGACTATATTCTGAAAAGTATCCAGAGTAGAAAAAATATTATATAATTAAGGACTTACAAGTTGGTCTGATGCTTTTTCCCTTGGGTATGTGCTAAGTAGCTTCCCTGCAACAACACAAGATAGAAGAAAGATAAATGATGACAGGATTTTTCCAACATCAGAAGCTAGCACTGTCAAATGAAACACTACTGGAAGTTGTTTGCCCAGGTAAGGAAGTTCTAAATGACATGGACTTTTTAACCCTTAAGGCACAAAGGAAATATTTATTTATCCCCAGTAAATTTCAATGAACTGAAAAGATGGTATTTGCGTTTTCAGGGCTTCATCCACCACTTTCCACCAACACAATGCTCAACCTCTAATCACTTCCTTTACCCCATATTCCTCCTCACCCAAAACCCACTCCCCTGTTGTAGTTCTCTCCCTTTTTCACTCCTATGTTTGGTTATTTTGGGAACTGGCAACTGAGTAATGAGCTATGTAGGATCTGACAGGAATGGCATGGAGTCCTAGACCAAGGGTCAGCAACCTACGGCCCATGGAGCCAGAGGGTTTCACCCACCCTGGGGGGCTTTGCCCATGCTGGGCCACAGCCAGGCAGCAGGGAGGAGCAGTGGCAGGGTCTAGCACCAGCCCGCTTCTGACCTGAGCTGGATCATTCCAACCCTCTGCCAGAAAAAATGTTGCTGACCACTGTCCAAGACCTGCTCCCGTGCACATACGTATGTCCCTTTTCTAAAGTCCTTCTCTAGCTGCATAAAGTTAATCATACTTTAGTTTGCAAGCACTTAAAATGAATAAAAATTCAATAATATGACAGTTCATTTATCTTATTTCTCAGCAATCTGCTAACTCACAGCAGAGCTAGTGAATACTATGGTGGACTACAAGCACATCAATCAAATACATTAAATTTTTTTTTTTCCATTTAGTCCAAGTGCCTGATTCTACGCCGCCAAATACAGGGACAGGTTTTAGCCAACCAAACATTCAAAAACAAAATACAGACAGTTTACTGGCATCATCTCTTTGGAAGTTAGCTGATTTCCTAAGGGTTAAATCTGAAGATCACTCAATCTTATGTTTATTAAGCTTGACAGCAAAGTAGATTGAAGAACTAAAGAAAGAGGCTCAAGCCTAATGAATGATATAACTTAGCCAAGAAAAAACTCTCTTCAAGAACAGCCCTAAAATCAAGGGTATCCAGATTAATACAAAAGAAAGTTCTTTAAGCAGAACAATTCTGCAGAGCCCAAACTAACCAGAGACACTGACAGACAGTTTTAAGCAGTGTAAAAAAGATATAGCATGTGGATATACCCAAGGAGTAACCAACATACTGTATTAATGCTTTGGTAACGAATGGTAACTTATGCAATGTACACACACATGCACTCCCCCACCATCAGTGACCAACCTCTACATCTTTGAGAAGTTCTCAGGGACTTGGAAACAAGCCCTCCAGAGCCTAAATCAACAACACTTCAATACTGTCTGTTCTTGTTTTTCATAAGAAACCAAATGCTCAACTCACCTCATTGTTGTGCAGCGTCAAGCAGAGTTTGCATTCATAAGAGCCCAAGTGATTTTTCATAAAATAGGGATCCTAAGAAATAAAAAGAGAATCACTGAAATTAGAAATCACACGCAAGTATCTGTAGCCTGTCTGCATTATATTGAACTCTCAAAAGTATATGATGTACAATCGCTGTGGCATGGAAAGAGGGATCTTAGCTTCTTGCTTTCACTCTTGAGGATAATTTTCCATCTGAAACGACTTACAGAAAAGAGGGAGGAAACAGTTATTTTTACCTGCCAACAATATTAACATTGCTGTGCAAGAAAATTGCAACATATGACCTAATACTGAGAAGCCTGCAGTCGAGACAGACATAAGCATGTACGTGATCAAATGACAGCGTCTCTCAATTCAGTGTTTGACAGCGTCTCTTCATGAGGGGATCTTAATTCAAGAAGAAGGTTTCATTCCTATCCACAATTCTCAACTAAAACCTTAATTCGGCAAGTGGTTTCACACAGGTGGAGCATCTGAGAATGGGTGTGTAAAACCATCTGCACATAACAGCTGGCAAGGCAGGGCCATCACTAAGGTCCCTCCAATACGCTTAACAGTAAATCTGCTATGTTTTGCTCATTTACCTCTAACTCCTACGTCAGCCACATCCTCTTGCCAGTGATTTATTAGACACGGCCTGCACCGGCCCAGGCTGGATTTGGAGAAGCGACATATTCCCTTCCCTCTGGCTACTGACACTTGCCAATCGACTCGACTTTCGATAGCGCACGTCTGTATTGCACCGCAGCGTACCTCGGCGCTAAAATCCCACAGATCCACGTCCCCCAAATATACCACGAGACCAAAACGCACCTTGTTGATGTCGATTGTCTCCAACGCCAACTGCCGGAGCCTCTCCCTGCGGTCCCGGTTACTCTCCGAGGCCGAGGCGACGCCTCCGCTCCCGGTTTTACCTCCAGGTCGATGCTGAAAATCCATGATTTGGTCTCTGGGGCTTCAAATTATTGAGGAGGAAAAAAAAAAACCCCTAGAAAAAGCAATGAAAATAGGACGTGCGTGTGAGATACGCGAGCTGCGAGTTAGTTAATGGATCGGGACGAGCAGCAAAGCTAGAAACTGGGATTTCGTCCCTTCGCGCTCGTGACACCGAAGGGCGCAACACCCAAGCGGGCGCAGGCGACGGTGACCCGCGACAGGGCTGCCCGCGAGGGGGACCTCCGAGACCCCGCCCTTCCCCTGCCCCCCGCCTGACCTACTGCTCCGCTCTCCGCTCCCTCCGGCCCCGTGTGCCGGCCTCGCAGCGAAGCTCCCCCCACACCGGCCCTGGGTAATACGCACCCTCACAGGCCGCGTCTCGGCACTGCGCATGCGCCCCCGCGCCGGAAGGAGGCGGAGCACGCCGCTTCCGGCCGCCGAGCGCATCCGGGTCGCGCCCG